GATGACAACCAACTCTACCTCTCTGCCTCCACCCTTGACTCCAGGACCACTGCTGTCCTGACTGAATGTCTGTCAGACATCAAGTCCTGGATGAGAGCTAACTTTCTTCAGTTGAACGTCAACAAGACTGAGGCTCTCCTGATTGGCTCCCGTCAGCGCCTCCGCACCTCAGGCGCTGACAGCATCACCATCCATGGTTGCACACTCCACCTTAGTAAGACAGTCCGGAACTTTAGGGTCTTGTTTGATCCACAACTATCCTTTCTGCCACACATCTGCACCTCTCTGCCTTCCCACACCTCCGCAACATCGGCCGGCTCTGCCACTGTCTCACACCGCAGGCCGCCGAAACTCTCATACCTGCTTTCATTATATCGAGGCTCAACTATGCAAACTCACTGCTTGTCGGCCTCCCCAACTCCTCCCTCCACAGGCTGCAGATCATCCAGAACTCTGCAGCCAGTGTCCTCTCCCACACTAGGCTCCGTGACACTATCAGCCCCATCCTCACCTGACTCCACTGGCTTCCCATCACACAGAGGATACAGTTCAAGATCCTGGTCCTCACTTTCAAAGCCCTCCATGGTCTTGCTCCCCTCTTGCTCTGCGACCTCCTAATCCCCTACTATCCTGCTCGTTCCCTCCACTCAACGGACTCCAGCCTGCTTCACATCCCCCGTCTCGCTCAGCCCACTATTGCCGGGCGGGCCTTCTCCCACTCTGCCCCCACCCTCTAGAACTCCATCCTGCAGTCTCTCAACCTCGCTCCCTCGTTTGCCTCCTTCGAGACCCATCTCAAGACGCTCCTCCTCGATCGTGCTTTCGATCTCCCTGCTTCCCTCCCTGCCCTCCACCCTCCCTGATCCCGACCCGCTGCTCGGATTCGAAACTCTGTCTGTCCAGTGCCTTGGGATGTCCTCCCAATGTGAAAGGCGCTTTACAAATGTAATTTTGTTGTTGTTGTTTCAGTTGGATGTTAAAGTTCCTGTGGCGCAATTTGAAATAGTGAAGGAAGTTTCTCTCGGGTTCCCTCAAACAGATAAAACTGATTATTCACATCATGGATAAATGATCAAAACTTAGTGTATGTGTCAAATCTTGCTTGATAGAAACGATTGTGAGTGCAATCAATCAATCATTGTAGATCTGAGTCAGTTTTTGATGAGACTCATCCTTGAGATCAAGGGTTCACCTTAACAGATCATTATTGGTAATAGTCAGAACATACCAGAACGTGGTAAGTCTGATGTTGCTCTGGATGCAGAGTTCAAGCCGGCTCCTGCCCATGTTCCTTATGTACTGGATAATAGCAAGGTAAAGGGATAAATGTTTTGGCTTCCCTAAAACACCTGTAAAAAAGGTGGTCAGAATTACTACACAGTACTTTACTTTCAGCTGCTGAGCTTCTTCCATCCGGGGAGACCACTGCGTATAAAGAGGAAAGAGTTTGTTCCACAAATAAAGCAGACCTCATTAACCATAATGGATGATATGCTCCAGAAACAATAACAGGTACCATCAATTATTTTTAAAGCACTTTGGTTTCTCACCTTCTCTCTTTAAAAGTAACCACTGTCATATCCCAGTGACTAACCAGCCAAGTGACTAGCAACAAGGAGCAAAGTGCAATTCGATATTCACATGGTCGTTAGTCTTAAAACTATGGTCTTATAGTGCAAGATTGGCACTTGCACTTTTCTAGAAGAATTTCTAGAAAGTTCACCTTCACAGACCATAACTGGTAGTGTTAGGAGCATATTAGTTTATAACAATTGGAAATGTTGATTCCTCCAAGTGATTGTGTTTCCTATACTTCAGCATTTCTCATGGAGTTTTGTCAACTCAGTATGTGATATGATATCCAGAAAGTGCACAAATTCTGCAACACTCTCTGCATCAACATCTATTTTCAGTTCCACAAAGATAAGCTCTATTGACACATGTGGAAACCATGCTTAAGAGTATCCAAACCAAACTGAGGATTCCATGCATCCCACCTACATGCAAATGCCAGAGATCGAGACCTTTCCATAGTTATAGGCACAATTATGTGGGTTGTGTGACCTCCGTGTGGTTTGAATGTGGCAAAGGTGTCCCCTCACTCACCACCAGGTGTCAGTGGAGCCTCTTCCAGTATAAGGGAATGGGAAGGAGCTCAATCTTGAAGTGTGATGAGTTTTAAAAGCCCTTTTTTTATTGACTGTTCAGTGAATTCTGATGGTGTTACATAAATGTAAACCGTATAATCGCCTAAGCCGTACATCTGCCCAAGTCCTGTTTATATTCTACACGATTTTGACAAAACTCACACTTTGCAACAGTCATATTAAATCTATGGTCCCAACTGATACGACTTATGTGAGGATTAACTAAGTGACTGTCCAGCGCCTTGGGACGTCCTCCCGACGTGAAACGCGCTATACAAATGTAATGTTGTATTGTATTGTGTCAGGATGACACTTGGATGCTGAGTTTCTGGAGAGGTTGAGCACCTCTGCTTACGTAATTCATGAGTTGGTAGGAAAGAATGTATGTCGGTGTTTGTCTCCTTGTCTGTCCGAGAAATGACTTAGCCCATGAAATGAATGAAATGAATGTCCTGCTTCTTTCGGGATAGCTAATCCAATTTCATTGAACCGTTGGCACTTTATTTACACCTAATAAACATCAATAAGGCAAATAGTCACGTTTCTCTGGGATGATAAGCACTTACAACTTACACTTTGACAAACTGAGACAGCAGAGGGAAGAGTAATGCTGCTCTGTGTGTATGTGTGTGATTATTATTATATTAAATGCAAGGATTATTCGTATTATGCGTGTGATTTAAAACGCTTATTGTTTTTGCTGCTGATGACGGGACGCAGAGATTGTAAGGTTCTTCAAGGACCTTGTGGTTGTGGGATGTGAAGTTCACTGTCTGCTGTTAGGATCCGGCTCTCACCAGGTAAACCAGCTCACAAAACACAGAGCGCCATCTGCCCACACGCCCCCAGGGCTCAGTGCACAACAACAAGATTACATTTGCATAGCGCCTTTCAACGCTTTAAATGGACCATCAGTTTTATGACTCCGGGCTTGTTGCCTTGCAAAATAATAGGAAAACTACAACCCCCAGATTGCATTCCTCCCTCCCTCCCTCTCTCCCTCCCTCGGGAGATGAGCTCCTGTGAAACACTTTTGTGTTGTGGCTCTGTCTGTTACAGGCTGAGGCACAAAGCGGTGGTAGCTGGTGACTCTCTGAGCTCAAGACAGGGTGAGAGCCACATTGTGTGCATAAGGCATATATACAGTTATATATATAGATATATATACACACAACATATATATGTGGATGTGTGTGCAATGACAGAGACGATGCCAATGTTAAAGCTGCCGTGTTAAGCGTTGATGTGGCTGTTTGGGATCAGTGAAGGAGCTCTCAGGATCTGGTGATAGTCCTGACCTGGATTTTATTGTTATTGTCGCTGGACATGATGACAGTCACTTAACATCGGGCAGACCTGCCTCCCTGTCCTGCTGATACTCCTGGACATCCACCTCAATCTGCATCTCCGCTGGTTCTTCGGATCAACGATCAACGTTATTTGTATATATATATATATCATCTACTTTTTTTTTGGTGGGTGGGAGAGTGGAAGTATTTTTTTTTGGAAAGAGAGAGGAGAGAGACTCTTCCCAACCTCTACGGGTCAACGTTAATTTCATATACAATATATATATATATATTTAATATACCAATTGTTTTTTTGGGGGGTAGGAGGGAGAGAGGTGGTTTATTTTATTTGGAAAGAGAGAGAGGAGAGCGAGAGAAGAGAGAGAGAGAGAGAGAGAGATTCTTCTCAACCTCTTCGGGACAACGTTAGATTTCATACACAATATATATATATATATACCCATTTTTTGGGAGGGGGAAGGAGGAGATTTTTTTTATTTGAAAGCGGAGAGAGAGAGAGATTCTTTCAACAGTGATTTTCCCTTCTGTGTGTGTGTGTGTGTCTCTCTCTCTCTCTCTCTCTATATATATATATATATATTTGATCTCAGAGAAAGCCCTCAACACAGACACACAGACAGACAGACCGACACACACAGACCCACAGACACTGACAGACACACAGACAGACCGACACACACAGACCCACAGACACTGGCAGACCCACAGACAGACAGACACACACAGACCCACAGACACACACAGACACTGACAGCCACACAGACACACACACAGACAGACAGACACACACAGACACTGACAGCCACACAGACACACACAGACACACACACAGACAGACACACACACACAGACACTGACAGCCACACAGACACACACAGACACACACACAGACAGACAGACACACACAGACACTGACAGCCACACAGACACACACAGACAGACACACACAGACAGACACACACACACAGACAGACACAGACAGAGAGAGAGAGAGAGACGGACTATGGCATCTGAGTCTGAACCCGGTGCCGCTGCCCCACAGCTCAGTGACCGGATCCCCACCGCTCCCGGAGACGGCGGCGACTTCAAAGCCCGGAGTCTGCCCACCCTGAACGGATCGTGCGGCGCGTGGCCGGGATCCCGGGGGTACCTGCCCTCCCCGGGCCGGGGGGGGGGCTGCCAGCACTGCCTGGCACCGGGCTGCCAGCACTGCCAGGCACCGGGCTGCCAGCACTGCCAGGCACCGGGCTGCCAGCAGTGCCAGGCACCGGGCTGCCAGCAGTGCCAGGCACCGGCCTGCCAGCACTGCCAGGCACCGGGCTGTCACCAGAGCCAGGCACCGGGCTGCCAGCAGTGCCAGGCACCGGGCTGCCAGCAGTGCCAGGCACCGGGCTGCCAGCAGTGCCAGGCACCGGGCTGTCACCAGAGCCAGGCACCGGGCTGCCAGCAGAGCCAGGCACCGGGCTGCCGGGCTCCTCGCCCCCCCGCCCCCTCCCGGCCCCGGGCCCCCCCCCGGCGCCCCCCGGCCTGGCTGCCGGCCGACTCCCGCTGCTTCCTGCTGTGCATGTGCGGCCTGACCTTCATCCAGTCCCTCATGGTGTCGGGCTACCTGAGCAGCGTCATCACCACCATCGAGAGACGCTACAGCCTGAAGAGCTCGGAGTCCGGGCTGCTGGTCAGCTGCTTCGACATCGGCAGTCTGCTGGTGGTGGTCTTCATCAGCTACTTCGGGGGTCGCGGCCACAGGCCCCGCTGGTTGGCCGCCGGGGGCTTCCTGGTGGCCTCGGGCGCCGCGCTCTTCGCGCTGCCCCACTTCATCTCACCGCCCCACCAGCTGCAGGAGCTCAAGTCGTCCGTCAACAACGAGGGGCTGTGCGGGACGACCCCCCACCACCACCATCATCACCCCTCCTCCTCCTCCACCTCCCCCTCCCCACCCCTCCAGGGCGAGAGCCACAACGGCAGCACCGGGTCCCTCCCGGGGGTCGGGGAGTCGGGCTCCGCCTGTGGGGACCAGGACTCCGCCGCTCAGGGCCACTCGCTGTACGTGGCTCTGTTCATCTGCGCCCAATTCATCGTCGGGGTGGGCTCCACACCCATCTACATCCTCGGCCCCACCTACCTGGACGACAACGTTAAGCCGGAGAACGCCTCTCTGTACCTGGGTAAGTGACCCCCCGACCCCCCCCCCCCACCCCAGACCCTCTCCCCCGACCCCCAACCCCCGACCCCTTCACCATCTCCACAGCCCCAACCCTCACCTCACACCCACCGCACGGGAGGACACCCGGGTTTTTTTTTTTGGGGGGGGTGGGGGGTCATGCCCTCCCTCAAGGTGCTGGTTGGTATCCCCACCCGTGGGGGGGGGTCTCGGTGGGTTAACAATGATGATGGTAATAATCCTTGCGTTTGATATATTCGCCATAATACTACTACTACTACTACTATTAGGAATAATAATAATTCGTTGTAGACGTCTCAAAGCGCTTCCCGGAGTACGTCGCTCCGGTGGATTTGACGGCGCAAGTATTTTGCGCGCGAGGAGTGGTTAAGCACCCGTTGCCTCTGGGTCAGCAGGTTCAGGAGGTTGCCGCTGCGAACCCTCCCGTGGGGAATTTAAGCTCACGGTCCAGGCTGACGCCCCAGTACGGTCCTGAGGCGAGAGCGTTTGTATTGTCGGAGGCGCAGTCCTTCAGATGAGCTGTTCAACCCAAGTTCCCGCCGGCCAGTGCAGGTGGGCGTTAAAGAACACTTGGCACTACTTAAAAAGAGAACAGAGTTTCTCCAGGTGTCCTGTCCCGGCTAACAATCCCCCGGATAAAATTGGCTGTTCACTTCATGGCTGTTTGCGAGACGTTGCTATGTGCAAATTGGCTGCTGAGTTTGCCTACGGAATACTCAGCCGCTACACTTTGCAGTATTTTTCATGATGCGCTTTGAGATGTTTCAATGACATAAGAATAATAATCCTTGTATTTGATATAACGCCTTACCACGTCTTAGAGAAGTCTCAATGCGCTTCACAGAACATACTGCCAAGTGAATTGACTATATATTTGTGGGTGAAATTGCGCACAGCAGTGTCCTACAAACAGTCATTTATTGAGTGAAATTTTTTTTNGAAGGATATATTACCTCCGGAAAAGCTATCCGCCATTCGACTAACAGCCAGCTTCCTACTTACTGCGAGATAAACAGCGGCGTGTGGAGTAAGCAAACTTGCCCAATGCTTGACCTTGCTCAGGAATCGAACCCAGGTTCTCTTGCTTGTGAGGCAACTAAGCCCTAAGCTACTGGACTCCACATGATAAGGCATTATACCCAATGCATTATCGTCAATGAATGGATACAGTAAATAATGGTCCTTTGCATTTGGTATAGCATTTCTAATATCAAAATACATCATTGTGCTTCAAAGGTAATTACTGCCAAGTGTGAGGCATTTGTAAGCAAACACAGAGGTCAATTTGCTCACAACAAGATTGCACAAACTAGTCATAAAGTTAAGTACTAATTTAATCGGAGGATTGTTACGCAGGGCAGTGGGAGAAACTCCCCTCTTTTCAAATTGTGTCTGGGAATTATGTTTATTATTATATTAAATTATGTCAGGGGATCTTTTATGTTTAACTGTACAGGCTGATATGAGTTCTGTTTAAAGTCTCATGGAAAGGACTTCCTCATTGTTCCCTCATCACTGGATTGCCAACCAAGACTATGAGCACAAGTTCTGACATGGTGCTTGAACCCACAAGCTCCCACTCAGAAGTGAAAATGTTACAAACTCACCTGACATAGTAATTAATAACACTAATCCTTATATTTGGTGTAGCTCCTTTCATGTCAGGAGGATGTCCCAAAACGCTCCACAGGATGTAAAGTGCAGTGACTGTGTGTTTTGTAGATGAATGTAGCAGCTAATTTGCAGCACAGCAATGTTCCACAAGCAACCATGAAGTGAATGAGCAAATTTATTTGGAAGTTTTATTGGCAAGGACACAAGGAGAAACTTGCTTCTCTTTTCGAACAGTGCCGTAGGATCTTTAATGACAGGGCATTGGTTTAATGTTTCATCCGAATAACAGAACCTCCAAAAATGCAACACGCACACACAGCCCTGTATTGAAATGCACCTTAGACTATATGAGTTCCAAGTCCTGATGTAATTTGTCACATGAATAAAATAAGCACATTTGGCAACAGTGGGGGGCGGGGGGTGGGGGGGAGGGGGAGTGGGGGGTGAGGTGGTTGTCTTTTTAATTAATAAACCAGAAATAAAAGAGAACAATTTTCAGATTAACAGGTTCTGATGCAAAGGCAATCCCTACAGTACGTCTGTTTCATATGATGATGAACGCAGTAAAACCTGAGGGATGATCATTTTTGAATAGTACTTTTTTTCTCTGTTTTTGAACAAGACGTGTTTTTTAAAAAAAAATTCAACAGGAATGTGCGGTGAAACAATTAGATGAAACAAACATTATCCATTTTGTTTAGTAGGAAACATGTTAGCGGTTTCACTGAATACTGTCTTTGTGTGAGGTTTTTTATGAGTGTAGTTGAGTACCACTCTCGTAATTTCGAAGTCAAAAGGCGTAATTATTGACTGCAACATTGTAGTTATAAGAGGTTAAAAATTGCCCAGAATGTTACTAAAGTGCCTTTGGTATCCTTTAGCTTCACACAATATAACACCTTCTTGGTCAGAAGTATTTAGCCTGTAATTGTTACCAATATGTTACATCAAATAAGTACTTTAAAGACGTCACTTATCATGTCTTCGAGACGTCCCAAAGTGCTTCACAGAATATATTGTAAAGTGAATTGACGGTACTTTTGGGGGCGAAATGAGGCAGCCAGTTGCGAACAGCAATGACCCACAAGCAGTCGTGGATTGAGTGACCAATTTTAAAAGAAAGATTGTATTTTCTTAAGGGATTATTTCCCTGGAAAAGCGATCCGCCATTCGACTAACACCCGGGTTCCTACTTATAGCTGGGTAAACAGAGGAGTGTGGAATAAGGAAACTTGCCTAACGTTTCACCCTGCCCGGGAATCAAACCTTGGTCCTCTTGCTTGCGAAGCGAGTGCTCTAACCAATACGCTAAAGGACTCCACATTTTTTAATCAATGGAAAACTAGATGATTCAACTTTTTCAATAATCCGCTGGACTATGATTTAAGAGTTGTGATATTCCATGTTGGCGACTGTTCCCACACAATGAGTTCCTGACCTGAGCCATGCCCCTGTGGAGGATGGACCTTTAATTAGGGGGTCTAGCGCACCTCCAAATGGGAAAGTGCTTTGACAAATGCCTGGTTTCCTGCTGGTACTTTTTAATGGGGGAAATCTTTTGTAGTGTTAGGAGGTACAGTATTTTAAAAAAAGGAAAAATAAGATGGAGATTAAATTAATTGGTTATTCTAACACACAGACTGTGAACAGAAACCCCTGTTGGCTCATAATTTTGAAGATCTAATTTTTCAATCACTTCGAATGATTTGCGAGGTTAGGTGAGGACAGTGTACATTTGTGGCCATCTGTCATAGCAGATACATAAACAAAGCTACAGTTGTAACCCCAGCTCTGCTAAATTACATGTCTGAAATATTTACTGATGGATTATTCTGGATCACCTGCTGCGTGTTCCCAGCGACTTCTGTTTTTATTTGTTCTGGGATCTTGCTGCATCTGTACTTTGTGTAACAAGCTTGCATGGTCAAATCAGTCACTCATTTTTTTAGCGTTCATACATTTAATACGACTTATGAAAGTATGAATTATGTGAAATTTGTATAAGTTAAATGAAATTCAATGGAACTGGGGCAGAATGTACTAACTAAGAGATTATATGATTGATACACATCAGACTTATGTGAGTTTTATGTGAACTTGCAAGATTTATATTCTAGCTCTGAAGCTGTTTATGTTCACCCATTTTCACGATTGTTGTAGAGAATAATAGCGTGACCCTTCCCTTTGCAGAATCAAAAGTTATTTGATGTGTTTCAACAGAATCCGCTTCATAATTTTTCACAATTTTGCTTAGAATTGCCCACAGAGATGTGTTTCTTCCTTTTCAATATTCAGCAGCTGTGAGAAGCAATGTTGTTTTTGCTCTGTGGGAGTCTTGAAAAGCTGCAGGTTTATGTCTGTGTGAAAAATAAACATGCCTGGCAGCTGAGTACCTCTCAGGCCTCAATGAGCAAATCCTTGTAAATTCATAAACACAGTAAGGGAGTCCCAGGCTGCTAGTTAATGCAGAGGGTAATATATGCTGAGAAAGGATTCACACCGCTGATTGTAAACTGGGTCAAGAAAATGGCATTGAGCATTACCAGAGTGTTTAGGCAAGGCATCTTAAAATGTAATCAATGAGAACAGACATTAATGAAAGTAGGTTAGATTTATAGGAGAACATGAGCTTGCCTTATAATGATGGAACTTATAGGGTCCTCGCTCTTTGTTTTGGTAGAGGTAGAGTACAGGGGTTGTTTCACAGCTTCTTCAGGACAGGGAGAATTGCTGTGGCCCAAAATCTAGCATCTCTTTGCCCATTAGATGATTTTGTCTGAAGATTGAAGATCACCCAAATTTATAACAATAGTAATAATAATCCTTGCATTGATATAGAGCCTTAGCACGTTGTTGTGACTTCTCAAGGCCCTTCACAAAATATACTGTGAAGTGGACTGATTTTGAGGATGAATGTGGCAGTCAATTTGTACACAACAATGTCCCACAAACAGCCATGGAGTGAGTAGTCAATTTTATTTGGGAGATTTGTTGGCCTGGAGAAAATCCCTTCCCTTTTCAAATAGTGCCATGGGAGTCCTGTAGCTCAATGGTTAAAGCACTCACCTTGCAAGCAAGAGATCTGGGTTCGATTCCCGGCAGGGCGACATGTTTGGCAAGTTTTCTTACTCCACACGCCTCTGTTTATCTAGCAATAAGTAGGAGCCTGGTTGTTAGATGATTGGCGGATTGCTTTTCTGGGAGTAATAATTCCTTAAAAAAAATTGGTCACTTCAATCCATGACTGTTTGTGGGATACTGCTGTGCACAATTGGCTGCCGCATCTCACCCACAAAATATACAGTCAATTCACTTTACAATATATTCTGTGAAGCGCTTTGTGATGTCTTGAAGATGTGATAAGGTGCT